ATATATATATATATATATATATATATATTTATTTATTTATTTATTTATTTATTGTAATTGGACTCTATTGCCTCATAAACAAGCAAAGAACTTTCAAAATCCATTTGTTCTTTTGGCTGAAGTTTGGGAGAAATGATGGAGGATTCCATAAGTGGTGGCCATCCCAACGAAAGAAAAAGAAGCAGTGACAGCAATGCTTTCGCCAAGTTTCTTCCTTTTTCTCCGCCATTGGAAGACGACCCTGAATCACACGAAGCTAAATTTGGTGATCACCATGACCATGGCCACAAGAGATTCAAACCAAATTCTCAAGCTCCTTTCTTGAAAACTACTACCACCGATTTAACCCCTTCTTCTCATCTTCCCAAACAAAACATTGACACAAAGGAAACATTGAACTTTTCCTCTCCATCAACTTCCTTTAGGCATTCAACTACTGGTGGACCATCACCACATTCCATTGGTAGCAAGTCATCACTCACTGAGTACGTGGAGAATGATGGCAAAATTTGCATAACAGTCTCAGATAGTGAGTTCTAAACCTTTTTTTTTTCTCACATGAAACATTAATATATATATCATTCAAAACCATTTTCACCCAATTTTTCTGTTTACATGAAATATTTTATATACATCTGATGTTCTTTTTAAATCAAAATTATAGTTTCATCTGGGTAGTAAGTATTAACATAAATTGTTAGTGTTAAAGAGCTAAAACACTACTTTTAATTCAAAAACAGTGTCAAAAAGTACCTCTAAAGTCGATTTAGGGGCGGTGAGTTTGAGTAATTTGTATCAAGTTCTAGGTTTTCCTTAAGTATATAGGCAAAAGCGATTAGTTATTTTCGTAAATAGGAAATTTTTTTTTTTATTACGTATAGGCAAGTCGTGGAGGGCTTAGACTTTATATGGAAAAGTCGTGTTCCCTTGTACAACTTCACCTTGACACACGAGTCAAAGGTGAAGTCGTGCACCCCAAAACATTTTTAGGCTCTTGTAATCGATTATCAGATCTTGTAATGGATTACACGTGTCAAAGTTGTGTAGGAGAGCACGAGTTCACTTGTAATCAATTACACCCTTGCTGTAATCGATTGTAGAAAGTGTATATAGGAAAAAACTATCTGGTAATTGATTATAGCAGGGTTGTAATCGATTACCAAAAGTGTAAATCAAGATAAACTCTCTGGTAATTGCTTACAAGCCTTTAGTAATAGCAAAAAGCATGTGGTAATCGATTACCAGAGGTTTTTAATGTTAAAAGAAAGATCATT